CAATTAAGAGTATTGTTAATAACGAGATAGAAGTAATTAATTTTTTTTTTTTTTTGAATAATGTCCGTAGCCTACAGGAATTCCAGCCCTTTTCATTCCTGGTAACGCTGGTAGTTACAAACAAGTCCGTTCAATAGCTTCTGAGACGTCAGAACTGTATTATGATAAGATTTTAAGAGAATCCGACTCGCAGAACAGTGGTGTAAGACCAATTGATTTTTTTACAGGTTTGTGTGTATGTATATTTTATTTATAATATTTATAAATAATTTCTCATTGTATAACCTCAACAACAGTCGATTTTAATGAAGAATTTTCTGCTCTTCATGGACATTCACTACTTGAACAAGCAGAATATTTAAACGATGCTATTAGATATATTTTATCCTTATATCCAGCAGCCAGGAAAAGTCAACAAACAGATCCGTCAATACAACCACATCCCGATCCTACTGCTGTAATTATTATTGGACATTCAATGGGCGGTGTTGTTGCGAGAACGCTATTTACGATGCCGAATTATCAACCTGGGTCTATTAATACTATTTTAACAATGGCGACACCACATATATTACCACCGGCTCCATTCGATTGGCAAATTAGCAAAATTTACACAGACATTAATGATTTTTGGAGAAATGGTTATTCACAGAGTGCAGCATCACAGAATTCACTTGCAGACGTTACTTTGATCTCCATAGCTGGTGGAAATTTAGATACAGTAGTTTGCTCTGACTCCGCCAATATAAACTCACTTGTTCCTGCATCTCATGGTTTTACTGTTTTTACAACATCTATACCTAATGTATGGACTGCAATGGACCATCAATGCATATTATGGTGTAATCAATTAGTTAAGGTAGTTGCAAAATCATTATTAGGAATTGTTGATGTAAGACGTGCTAGCCAAACAGAGCCGAGTCAAAAAAGGATGACTATATTTCGTAAAATGTTTTTGACCGGGCTTGAAGATCCAGTAGAACCTGAAGCCAATAAACCAAAGATAGGTGAGTTTTTAGTGAATCCATTTACAATTATTATTTTAAATTACTAACTTGGATTTTTTATATTTAATAGATCCTTTTGGAATCATAAATTTTGGAAAGGCTTCATATCAGTTTTTAAATATGGGGGAAAGACTTGTACTAAATGGTTCTGTTTCTGCGGCGAATGTATATTTAATGCAAATACCACCAGCAGCCCCACTTTCTACCTTGAACACATTCTCATTTTTAACGGATCAACCTCTTATAAAAGGTTCTGGTTTAGATATTCTTTTATGTGATGTGGTGACAAAAGAAGTCCATGAACATAATAATAAAATAGATCTTTCTGCAAACGATTTAACATTACCAATTGCTCCTAGGTTTTCATGCTATTCAGTATCTAATGAAGCGTCATTAGTACCCGCTTCAAAAAGTGATATTAAAAATATTATGCATGATAAACCTTTCAATTTTTTGAAACTTAAAGTCAAAGAATTGGGCGATTATCAATATATTGCAATCATGTTTCAGAAAGAACTTGTAAATGGTTTTTTAATTGGCGAGTTTTTTGATGAAAGAATCTCGTTAATGGACATTAATACATCAATGAAAGGTTCAAAGCTTCTCTTTAAGGTTAATTGTCGGCAATATAAATATTATATGCATTCGTCTAACTCGGTAATCTCTTTTAACAGACCTTTTGATGGATGGTATTCATATTGATGCAATTCCTGAACATATTGCTCTAGTATCAACGTTACGAATTCCAGTTATCGACAGCAGTTTGTTAACTTATAAGATGTCTGTCCGTCGTACCGGATGTGTTGGTAAAATGCAATATTTTTGTAATATATATATATATTATTTTATTTCTCTTTTTAACCTAATATGTAAATCATTTCATTAGATCAACAAATATTTGCGCCATTCTTAAGACAGTCTATATCTGCAATGTACGAATCAAAATTTATGGTCAATGTAGGTGATTCAAATTTAAATATTCACGGACAAGCGCCTTTTGTCACGCCGGTCAGTGCCCCTAATTCACGGAGGGGACTAGAATTACAGTTCTGGATGGATCCAACTTGTTCAGCACCATTGTCAATCGATATTGAATTGGATTGGTACGGTAGTTTGGGAAAAATAGTTATGAGATTCCAAATGGTTGCGGCAGCATTTCCTTTCATTATAGCTATAATGACATTGAGGGCTCAATTTAGAGAATATGATCATGGGGGTAAGAATTTTACATTATACGCATCTTATAATTATTTTTAAATTTAACACATCTATCTTTTATAGGACCATTTTTGAGTTTTGGACATGGATTAACACTTTTTATTCGTCAAACATTTCTAAAATTTCTTGTTATCGTTTCATTGCTATCAATTTATCAGTCCATCACCAAAGCTTCGAAAACATATTCGTTGGTAGATTTATTTCCAATGGATTATGCATCAGGAGACATGCAAAAAGCCATTAAAGCCAAATCATCATTCAATGTGAATGACACGCTTCTCGGAAACCAAGATCCATTTTTTTGGTTTCTTCCACCAATGTTTTTTGTCATGAGTGTTGGAATAACAACTTTTTGTTGGATTCTATTGTCTAGTATTGTGAGGATTGTGACATTTGTTGTGGTTTTTATTAATCGCAGAGCAAAATGTGTTACACGCTTAGTAATTAGGTAAGTAAACTTATGTTGCATTATATTGTTTTTTGGGATAACTTATAGATTTCTAAATTCAAATTCATGTATTCTTTCGCAAAGGCCTTCAGAAAATAAGGCATCTGTACTGCTTCGTCGTGCAGTAACCACGTTAATACTTTTTATTTTAGTTGCATCCTTTGTCCCATATCAGTTCGCCTACATAGTCGCCTTTTTTGTTCACTTTATATCATGTGTGTGGTCCCTGGTTGTTGCTCGTTATGGGGTATGTATTGTTTTATATTTTTTGAGTTATATATATTTATATTTTCTTTTTTAAAAAAAAAGCTTTTCGGCGTTTTTAACGCACAAAAATTTTATATATTTTTGCATTTAGCATAAATCTTCAAATACACAAGAAAGCTGGGATCGGTACCACTATTTACAATCAATGCTTGTTCTTTTGTTCATGCTTTTACCGTTTAATTTACCTGTATTGATGGTTTGGATTCGAAATATGTCAGTTCATTGGTTTGCACCATTTTCATGGGATCACAGTATAATGGCAATAGCACCAGTAATATTTTATGTTGAAATTATAACAAGTGGTAGTATGTTACCAAGGTCCACCGGGAGGTAAGAAAGCTACAGATTCATTATCATTCTAGCATATTCTAGCATAAATATTCTCCAATGTAACTTTTTTTATTCTTATAGTAACTCTCGAGCGATCACCGGGTTTATTCTTTTTTTAATAACAGTGTATGCTTTGTTATATGGTGTACGTTATACATATTTACTTTACTTTTCATCGCTTGGATTCTTGTCATGGCTTATATTACTTCACATTAGAGAATCATTGTGGATTGGTAAAACAATGATCGTTTATTTTCAAAATATATTTAAATTTAATAAGAAGCGATCATAGCACTAGTTACTTTATTGATTTATTTATTTACTATTATTTTTTTATTAATAATTCGAATAATGAAGAAAAAAAGATATTAGACACAAAATGATTTTATAAAATAGAACGAGTTACTCTAGGCTGGAGGTTTATGTATGTTATCTTATACCCAATTTGAGATATTAGAGTGCCTGAGATAAGATCCTGAACCTCCGGTCTATTCAGGGACACTTTTTTTGATAAACTTTGGGAACATTGTCTTCGATGGGTATTTAGGTACTCGTGGTTTTTTTTAATGGTGGGATGGTGAAGAATTAAACTATTTATTGACAATTGGTAGTCAATTATTTAATACTACAAAATTTCATAAAAAAACAATAAGTTATTTTTTTATATATACCAATAATTTCTTTTTTACATACTCTCTTCCATTATTTCCGTGTAACGATAAACACCAATAATTTCTATAAACATTACTCCCTTTTTTTTTCTTATAATTTATAAATACAGATATATATATACTAATAATTTAGTCAGTTTTTTCAATACACTAATAAAATCAATGAGACCGCAAATCAAAAATATATTATATAAAATAAAGTAGATACGATGTCTAATCTTAATATTTACAAATTAAATAATCATTCGGTTTCAAAATATTAGCAAATATTAACACGATATCGAACTTTACACAATATTTCGTGTTTTTTTCGATGACATCTCTGCTGATTTGGTGTTCATAAGTTCTTTGGCTAATTATCGCGTCGTCAATCAAAATTGGTAATAAAAAATTAATTGTAACATGGAGTGTCGTTGATTAATTATCTATGTTAATGTCCGATTATACTGAGTAAGTTGTTACAATTAACATATTACGATTAATTTTGTATAACAATTTTTTCAATCTCACTATGGTACGTTTTGATTAACGACGCCCATTTAATTTTCGTTTGTTTACAGTTATATTTTCAGATTCTGATATTCCTGGCCCAAGGCCGATGTTTTTTGTGTTTCACATAATATATACCACAGAATTCACAGAAATAGGTCTATATCACAGAATATATATCACCGCAGAATACCACTGAAATTGTGGTTCTCAATCCACAGAAAATAAAGGGTTAGCTATACTGGTTAGCAGGAGCTATAGTAAAATTATCTGGGCACCTTTTACTTAATGGTTTCATTATTAAAATTTTAGTGATCTTGGGCAAAATTGATCAATTCCGGCCCATCCGAACAGGGTTTCGATGCATTCCGACCCGAAATTTTGAGGACCTCCCTGTATGAGTTGTGAATGAACATGAATTACGAGCAATGTTGGTCGAAAAGTTTCGGAAACATATAACGATAAAGTTTAGGCACATTTTAGCACACAATTAATCATTTTACACCGCATAATTGCACATACTCCTCAAAAATTACCAACACATGTCACAGAATTTAGCATCGCAGAAAATCATCGCCCCTGTCCTGGCCCTGATATTCTTGTGTCATTTTCCCAGCCTAAAAAAACAAATGTCAAATTTCCTAAATAATACCCAAAACTTTCAAATAATTATAACTAAAAAAAAACCTGGTAGTGCATCAAGTATCTTTCTCTGCTCGGGCGGAACACGACGCCACTCCATATTATAATAGTTTTTTACCCATCCCCATTAAAACATAAAACAATGATCTTCAGCACGTGATACTATATTCAAAAATTAAGCTACAAACTAAAATTTCAATAAGTACCCCCCACCCAGGATGAGAAAACGAATAAAGTTTTTTATATCGTCTCCTTAACGCGCCCTTAAGGTCTTTATCTTCGTAAAGATCCTTTATACTAAGACTTTCGAGTCCATCGGCAACATTGGTTGAATATTTGAACCTTTCGATGTTCAGAAAACAATCGTAGCCGGGAGATTTTATAGAGGAATCCTTTATGAATTGAAAAGAGAATTCGAAAATTATGATATGGAAACCCTTTATTGAATTTATAGGCGATTTTGCTTCACTTGAATCAAATTTTATATGAATTAGTGCATGAAAGAAATTTTAGAATAGATCCACAAATTCGATAAAGCATTAGTTAATATCTGTCGGATTACTACAAAATCTCTAAAAAAAAATGGAATCCGAAATTATGTATATAGAAAACAAAATACCTTTCAAATTTTTGAATACATTCTTCACTAAAGAAGCATCGAATGCAAAATTCTTTATCGT